CTCCTTCAAATCATGCTCACTTGAGATCACTACAAAATATGACTCCCCTGAATGGGAAACTAGTAGATCATTACGGATGTTCCTCCAGAACAGGTTGTCAATGTTCAAGATTGCACGACAAATAACTAGTTACCTTTGATACTTTTCCCGTGATGTCTTGTTTGGTTCAAGAATTTTAACCCCGTAGTAATCTTTCATATTCGAGAAGACATCCTGTTGAATGTAGAAGAGGAAGCTATGGATATGGATATGGAACAAAATTTCACATTTCTTCTCATTGCAATTAACACTGTAACTTATGCGTGCATGGTTTCAACGTATATGCAGTAAACAGAACTAGAATTTGGAGAGGTGCTATATCCCTCTAGCGCGCTTCAGCTTCCCTTATTTTGTTCCGGTTCATCAGGATTTCAAATAGTTTGACAGTTTGTATGAATATTTAGCTGTAGATAATAAAAATCAATCGATTCTCTACGTTCAAAGCAGTTGCGATTCCGCATCCTTCTATATGCTATTCTGACTCGTTCATTTAGCGAAGGTATTTCGAAGTTCTAATTATATTTACAAACATATACAGTGCTTACATAATATAGTGTTTATGAGTTGGACGCAAAGAGTAACGGGCGTTGTTCAGGTTGTGGAGTTTCTTTTATCGCATTATTCAAGGCCAAATACACGATTAGTTGTCAAACCTTGTATTTTCTACACACCTCGTCCTTCCTTGCTCCCTATATATATATTTACTAGAGGAAAAACGCATATTTATCATGAAGCATCAGGGGGAAAATCGAGCATCAGGGGGAAAATCGCCGAACCATAATTCCATGCAAAGAACACTTAATGAAATAAAATCCATGTATGATCATGAAACCTGCAGAAAAACTTTTTCCACCTATCTATTTAACCCTGAGTCACTAATGTGAATTTTCCCCTCATCCTCTACAGGGCACTTGCACTAAAAGCTGGGGTGAAATGGCGTTGCCGCATAGCTACTGACGTTAAAAATAACTCACCTCAAAGCGAACTCCACCTTTGTTAGTATAAGAGTCTTTCTTGCCACTCGGTAAGATATCTGAATCTGACGTAGAACTGGAATCCGAATCTGAACTCAGGTATTCATTAGTCGGACTTGTTGCTCGTTGTAGTGATGAAGGTTTCGTTGACGGACGACGCTGATTGGCAGTGCCTCCTCCAGTTGCGCGCACCACGAAAGGACTGGGTTCAATTTCAGTTGCAGGCATAAACAACCTCAGCAAAATAGAAAGTAAACTAAAATATAATTACACTGGCATTGGCAGACCCACTGGACTGGAAATGAAACTAGATTGAGTATCCATTGTGAAAAAAATGAAGCTGGAAATCGGCTAGTACTTTATAGGGACAAACTAATCTGGTATTTTTATAGTTGAACAAGGCGTCTTATAAAAAGCAAGAGACATTTCCCCATATATACTTGGTCCTTTACTAATGGTGAATTTCTATTATTTATTGTCTTCTTTTTATTACAGTAGTTTTGAAGTTCAAGTTGAGTATATTTCAATACTGTCTCCAGAATTTTGGGAATGCGTAGTTCTGGCGTGAAGGCAGATAAAAAAATTTTTTTAATGAGCGCCTCCCTTAAACTCTGCATCCGAAACACTAAGCTAAGCGCTATCCAGTCTACTTCACAGGCAGAGCTTGGTGGGATGCATCAGAATTACAGGGCCGCAGGCTCAATATCTGCCGCAGGACCTTATAGTTGAAGTTTCCATCCCCAAAAATATACAGCTATTTCAATTAAGATTGTCCCCGAGCAAAGCGGAAAAGTCGAATACGAGCACGAAAGGCTGCTGCGAATCGCTTAAAAATTTAATGAATTTTTTAGCGATTCCCAGCAAGCCTTTCGCGCTCGTATTCGACTTTTCCGCTTTGCTCGGGACCTTAATTGAAATAGCTGTATACAGTATACGCATTGTGATATTCAGAATCCCAGAAACATTTTTCCAAGATCTGTGCATATCGGAGAGAAGATACAGAAAATACGTTTGGAAAATCTTGAAAAAATTAGTTTGACGTGTATTAAAATAGGAATCAAATTTCTATCACTATATATTAATTTGATATTGCATGAGGACGGGATTTTGAACGTTATGCCTACATAGACCACATTCATACTGTATCTGGCTGGACTGCATGTGTGAATTAATTTGCAGATAGCTTGATTAGTAGTAACATTTGCTTGACCAAATTATACATGATTGATCAATACATTTAACATAATTTCTTACCTGTATGAAGAAGGTAAATTAAATGAAAACAAGAGCTCAAGTTCAGACAATTCATCAGGTTGATAATAATCACGAAACAAATCATTTGAATCTTCTTTGTCCAATTTATCTCTTTCTTCAGCAAGACTGGTGGAATTACGGCTTGAGACTAGACAGTACAGAGCGATATTTAACATTTATTTAGCTTTAGCCCTACATAAACATGGAAACATTGGTGTGAAAAGATTGATTCCAAACCACGTTTCCCGAAGTTGAACAAAAACGATACATTTCTTCCTAACAAAGATACATTTAGATAACAAAACATCTTTCTGATTTTTCTCGCAACAATGTTTCTAAGGGTCACAATGGGAAGCTTTTCAGGAAACATAGGAACTTTCAAATGTTCCTAAAACGATGATTCCTAGTTTTCCCACGCAGGACAGCCGAAACCCTGTAGGTTGCCTGACGCTCGTGAATATAAAACCGGGAAAGGGTATATGATATACCGTATATCATATCGAGAGTCTTGAAATGTACTGTAGATGGGCTTGAGCACCAATGTGCAGTAGCACAAATATTTTCGTGTTCATTGACTGTGAAAACGATCGATTTCGAAAGAAATGAATAATGATAATAATTTTGAATTTGCATAGCGGGACTAAATTGTCGGGCTGCATGGCTACGCCACTGCCAATGTGAACTGGATTTTCAAATGCCCGCCAGTTCTTTGCTGAGAAACGTACATGCACACGGAGGGCAGATCAATTCTTTACGTCGTGTAACTCTTATTGGAAGACGTGTTATGAAAAATGATATCTGAATTGAAAATAGTCGGTAACAACAGCACGAAACACCAACATGGCAACACTTTTTAAAATCAACGTAGTTCAGCACAACAAACCCGTGCCTATAATAGTTGCATTTTCTTATGACACAAACGGTGCAAAGTGTAATTATGGTATTTACACGAGGGAATGCAAAGCACTCTTACCTTCTTGGCAAGACAACGGCAGCGTAGCAACAACTTCATCATCAAACCATTTCGTGTAACTAAATGAAAATTAACAATAGCATGCAACCATTGGTTTCGTTGGAAATTACTTATAGGAATCAGAAAATGTTCTTTTCACGTAGAAGAAAAATTCAGTTACACATTGTAAATTGCAACTATTTGTGTGGATCATATTAAAGTCAGTGAAGCCCAAAATCCCACGAAGGACTATAATTAGACAGACGTATAGGACACAACTGCTTAGTGTGCCAAACGCCCGCAAGCCATTTCACGGTCTAAAAGCATTTCTAAGCACCATGGATCCTCTCGGGTATCAAATAATCGCCAACTCAAAAGTCCCATTCGTAACAAATGTAGCTAGAATAAAAGTTATTCCGCGAATAAGAAGTGCATAATAACAACACACAATTTATAAAAACTGTATATTTCGAATCAAATCTGATTCATATTCGCTGAAATTATCAGCCTGAAAATGATTATGGAATAACAAATGTACCTTCGGCTCTCTTTTTCGCGCTCTCTCTCGCTTAGGTTCAAAATGTCATCTCCTGGCCCTTATGATCATGAAATTAGTATAGTCAAGTCCATTGATATCTCCAGTTTTTAATGTTATAAGTAAACTACAATGCAGTGGACATGCATGCTCAAATTGTCACCATGTAGAGCACGAAATGCACACAGAAAAACCAGCGAGGTAGGAGGTACTAGGAGCGTATATAAGAAAGGTTGACAACAGGGGCGTAGAAAGCAGGGGGGCCGCCCACCCCCAATATTTTATAAGGGGGGGGCGGGATAGATTTCGGTCCCCCGAATAAATTATTGGATTTTAAAAAATAATAAACAATTACTGCGAAATTCTCGAAACTGGAAGTATTTGAAACGTATACATAATATTAATAACGTACATGTATCTGCAATTGTTTATTGTTATTTTAATAACAACATTTTTGCTTGTCTTTTGTCATTGGATGTTTTTGGTCTATGCTGCTTGTTAGGCAGCGATACTTGCTCAAATAGTTATCATCTAACGCAGTTGCAAACCATAAAGTAAACATATTTATAGCTTACAAATCATAATGACAGAATTTGAAAGAGCTTAACGAAAGTGCTAAATAAGACCCTGCATGAAAATGACATTTCCGGCGATCTGGCGATTCAAAATTTTCAAAATTTTTCCCGCTCGGCGTCTACCATGGTGGCGCCTCGTGGGAGTCGAGCCCCCTAACTTTCGCAAGCTTCCTTCACCCTTGCATGGACAACAAAACATGATGTAAGTTAAACTGTACCTTTTCCCTGCAGGCAGACCAGAGTTGCCGCCATCTTGATTTGATACATGATGCATATAATAATCAGTTGGATGATCCCACAATGGAAGACAATTTTCGCCTGGGATAAACTTTCCAAGAAATAAGTTAATAGCTTGCTGTTTCTCAGAATCTAAATATAAAAACTCTTCTTACGACTGGATAATATTAAGAAACAAAAAGTTTGCATTTAATATACAACTATACAATAAAGACTGAAGTGATTTATCCCCCTTTTAGCAATCCATCCTGTACAGTAAAAACTAAGTTACTGTATATATATTATATATACTACTGTAGATAGTTCTGACGTCGCTATGACGTTACGAAAATGGATACATGAAACTACAACTGGCCGCCTTAATGGTTCCTACCAGTCTTCAACATCAGCATTACGTACAGTACTTTCAACACGATTTGGCGTTAAAAACTTGATTAGGATTAAAAAGTGATGTCTAATTTTAATTAATTAATAAGGATTGTCTGCACGGAACTGCATGTACAATGTAGTTTTAAACGATATTTCAAAATTTGCTGAAGGCTGCATATTCAAACCGCCGTAAAGACAAGCAGAAATACGATCCATAGGCTTGAATAAAAATCACAAATCGTTACCAGTAAATGCTCCACTATAGTATCTTCGTACTGTCTGGTAAATATCACGAGAATGTGACGTCCAGGGAGCAGATTTAAGATATGTATTAATTCTAGAAGGTAGAAATATTAGTTAGGCGAGTTTCAAACGTCGAACCTTGCATGTAACGAATCTAAAGCAAATGAGCTCAAACAAAGTGAAAGACATTAGGTCATATTATGGCCTTAGAAATTATTAAATCATGCAGTCAGTGATACAGTCTCGTTAGACAAGTAAGTTTTTAAACGCTGGATATTTCCACGTGAGTATACAAACATCTTTCATAAAAATATATTGTACATACACCAATGGGCACTAAACGTAGGCACTGAAGTGTTGAGGTAAAGGATCGAATAAAAATTTAAAATTATATTTAAAAAATTCATTAATAATTCACGAGGAAAATACAAAAGAAATGAATGTTTAATCAATGTTTGTAAATCGGATAAAGATTTGTCCTGATTTACATAAACTTCAGCTTTGATTTTCTCGGCTTAGACAATGTTTATTTTTAAAATTACTTCGCCAATGCGCTTATAAGATGGGTCATTTTTGAAGTACGATAAAACATTCGCATCCGATCTGTATCTGATACTATCAGATACAGATCGGCTGCTCATTTTTTATCTAGTACTTATTAGTGTACATGGTCATTGGAGTAAGGCCATATATAATTGGGAGGAAACTTGGATAAATTTACCTATGTACAAGATGAGATCCTCCATATTGTGCAGCTAGTGTATCACCATGATCTTCATAGAGATCTTCCAACAATCTGGTAAACAATAGGAACACCTACGTCATTTTACATGATAGTGATAACGATATTGACGATGATAAAGACAATGAGTTATTTAATGTCGATTACACAGGGTACAGTTGTCCAAATTATCCTGCTCGATAATTAAGCCTACGCTATAGGGTTAGGTTTAGGTGAAAAAGAATATCGGAGACGACGAAAAAAACACGAAATGCAGACGAAAACCAAGCAAACTCTACTTATAAGTGATTTTTTTCTGTGTTGGTGTTATGTACTCAGGTGAATATGATGTTTGTGATGTTACTCTGGGTGTATATCCACACCGGGCAAGCTTGAAAAATATGACTGGCCACGGTGAGAATCGATGTAAAATATTCTTTAAGGAAGATGTCGCACTCTTCGAACAAATCACAAGAAACGTAAAGGCCTGTTTACAAATTCACTTGCAATTTTTGCTGCGATTTTAGGTGCGATTTTCGAGTATATGTACCCTCATCTCAAAATTCATAATTCTTCCACTCGTTTACGTCCATCAGAAGAAGAAAATCGCACCTAAAATCGCAGCAAAAATTGCAAGTGTAAACAGGCCTTAAGATATGTTCTAATATGTAAAAGTACAAATACATATATAGTATAGGTAGAATAGGTCAGATAATTGAGGTCATACAGTACCTGACAGCGTCGCATTCAAAGTTCACAACAGGTTTATCAATAACACCTAATGCGTAAAGCTAGAAGAAATTGAAGAAATTATTGAAATTGTAAAAATGATATAATACAACATCACCCGCGTGGACTCAAATGCCAATAGACCTATATGTGCAGCACTGTTATATGTCATATGTAGCATCTTTTTTAGGGACACTTTCATAAGAATTTTCATAGAGGTTTGATGTGATATTGGATGGAATCGATGAAAGTCAAAATTACTGAAATGATAAAATCTTGGTGAAAGATAGTGAAGTTGATTATATCATCCTTACTTGTACAATTATTTCGTATTCTACCATATCTGTTCGGTTACATTTACAGCATTTCCAAAAAAAAACAGTTTTGCGATACAACTTACAATAACTGATATTTTAGGTAACTGCATGTTAAATAAATTCACGTGTAAGGATTTCTTTTCTAAGTCGCGAGTGAAACGAATATATCACGTGAAACAGTGATGTTTAAAATGGTTGGCAATATAGCAGCAATTTCAAAATGTATGTTTAATCATAGCCTGCAACAAACCTGTAATCCAAGAACATGTTTTCCAACCACAAACTGAGCAATATTGGTTCGATCTAAACAATCAACACAGTTCACACGAAGAATACCAGTCTGGATACATAAAAAAGATACATGTGTAACTAAAGGAGAAAGAGAAAGCAACTATATACCTCAACTATTATAGTCTCAAGATTGGAGTTTTACTTTCTATGTTAAAAATATAAAAGGAAAAATCTCTCAATTCTGATTGGCTGAGAGCATTGCAATACAAATATAAAGTACTTTGCTGTGGCTATACAGGCTACAGTCTTGTTTCCGTGATTGAGACATTGACTTTAGAGTCCTTTACCTTCAGGGGTGGAAAAAATAGGCGAGCACGTGAGCACTGCTCGCAGGAAATGTCAAGCAGCTGCAGGAGATTCGTTTGAATGAAGATTTACCATTGAAAATTTGAAGGAAACCTTAACACCCATGTCCCACTACGGTTGACAGACATTATTCCTTGAATTTAAAACCATGGTCAGCTAGAACACTATATGTTTAATATGCACATGCAGATTTAGCACAAAATACTCCGTTGGTTGCAGGAAATTTTTGTCTCCAGGTTGTGCCCCCAGGAAGAAAATTCTTTTTTCCTATCTTGTTTACCTTGTTACTGATGACATTATTACAAACAGGCCTTTTATATTTAACTGCACGGTTTCGTAAACGTGCCACTTGTAGCGAGATAAAGGGTCCTAAACCCAATGTCTCAATCACGAAAACGAGTTTCTATGTATAGCCAAGACTGAGCACTTTCCAGAAGGTTGTATTTGGAGGGAATACATTAATACAGTGCAGAAAAAAAGGAAATGCAGTGCAAATTTCATGGCAAATATGACACATTTTCATTATGAAGACCCCGGGGACAAGTTTGATAAATGGTTTGAGTGAAGAAAAAATTCCTCTTGGCGGACTTGACAAGGGGGAAATTTTTACTTTTAGGTGAGTCAGTTTCAAACAATAAACGTTTTCAACGTCAAGTTAGTTCGAAGCGTACGAGTCGCATTTCACATTCAAGTATATTCAGGGGTGTATATTCTTCCATAATCCCCCCCCCCCTGGGGCGGGGGAAAAGAATCAAAGGGTCTTAGGGCTAGGGAAGAAAATCAAAGAAGAGTAGAAAAAATGGAAAGGCAGAGGGAAAAGAAGAGAAAAATTTCCATGGGTAATTCGTGAAAATCAGTGTTTCCACTTTCCAAAATGATTTTGCCACTGAGTTTCTTTAGCTGAATTAATTACTGTATTAATGTTGATTGTTCATGTTAATGGAAAGTAACTTAAATAAATATGAAAAGCTTTACTGAGGATTGCAAATTTAGTAAATAATAACTTATAACTAGGTAATTTATAATTTAGGTATTTTATTCTATCTTGGGGAGGGGACAAATATACTATGTCACAGTATTACTATTAGGTACAGGCCTTTGAGGCTGATGTAGTAAAGATATGGGGAAAAGAAGCAAATCTGAAAAGAAGGGGGGGGGGGAAGAATCAAAGTTCATTGAAGAATATACACCCCTGAGTATATTATTAATAAGTAATAGCATGTTATGGAGTGGAATTTGGATAAAACAAGCACACGTGGGTTTTTCAAAGACCCCATGCAAATATAAAACTCGCTCGTCCAAATTTTTTAAAAAATAAAATGATAAGAGATGGTAGATCACTAGCAATCTATGTGGCATTAAAGGTTGTTCTAGATGGAATCCCTTTGGTAGGGTTCCCATAGCGTGTTGGGTTTTGTAACGTTGAGTTGTTTGTAGTGATGTGTCAGTCTGTAGTGAGGGAGCGACTTCTTCGTTTAAGAACGAGGCAGAAGTGTGCTGCTTTGCAGAAGTCGCTCCCTCACTACAGACTGACACATCACTACAAACAACTCAACGTTACAAAACCCAACACGCTATGGGAACCCTACCAAAGGGATTCCATCTAGAACAACCTTTAATGCCACATAGATTGCTAGTGATCTACCATCTCTTATCATTTTATTTTTTAAAAAATATAAAACTCGCTCGTCCAAATTGGACTCGAAACCATGTTATTACGGTATTACCTATACTAATTTACCTGTTCTCTACCAAACATATGTTCATTTCGATAACCACCAACTTTCAACCATCTACACAGGAGAAAAGTAGAGGTCGTGAAAATTCATGTAGCTACGTGTATAGATCTAATAAATAAAATTACATCATTTCGCAAGTATCAAAACTACAAAAGCATATTCATGTGGGAACCCCAATCTCCTCTGCAGGTAGCTCTATGGGTTTTAGCCTGCGAATGGGTAGTTCAGAAAAAGAATTCTATCCGACCACCTGATTCCCTAGAGATACCTGCGGAGGACGATAGCTTGACAGTAAGGCTTTTTAAATATTACCTTTCATCAGGTCGAATTTCATTTGCATAAAGATCCTGACCACTATGGAAAAATCCCACAGATTCAACAAACTAGAAGATAAAAAAGTACCTTTCTATGAATGAAATTAATACAATAATATATACTGTACTTCTGACTTGTAAGCTACTGTACATGGGTGCGCTTTGAGAGTGAAAAAGTATAATTTTAAATCTAGTTTGTATTGACTAATATATACGTTTTGGCAGTCTTGCGAGTAACGTCGTTACAAGTAAATGTATGTAAAGGTATACGTTTGACTGTAAAGGTACTCTGCGTTTATACACGCTGCGATTTGTCGTATACGATTGTCACACTGGCATATGAAAATTGCTGCTGGCGTGACAATTCCTGTTCATTTAGTTTATGGCAAGATTTGAAATGCAACCACTTCCCGCGTGCTTACTCTATTACATTGTAACTAGTGACAAAGTTACATCTAACTTTGTATTTAACAAACTCACCTGTTCAGCATACTGCTGTAATTTCTCCACTACCTTCACGTCCTTGCTAAATGAAAGGAATCAATAGATTGCCATATTCTGAAAAACTATAATCATTAAAACCTCGACAGATGTTTCAACGTGAGATAATAATCTTTTCTTCTTTAACCCATTGAGTGGCAGCACTCTCCCTTTGACGAGTAAAATCGTCTGGCGCTAGATATATAGTAAAATAATAAAGCAGAGCGCATTGCCACTTAAAGGGTTAACAGGATGCATGGGATAAAATCGTCTAGCGTCTAGAGTAAAATAATAAAGTATAGGGCGCATTGCCACTTAAAGGGTTAATATGTTTGCAGTTTGCATGGCCAAAATTTAAGTAATGTTTTTCCCTCCTTTCTTAATTTTTAACTATGATTTGATCATTTGGTTTGTCAATTTTTCGCCAGGTTTAGAACTTGAGTTGTAATGTACAGGTAGAGTAAATTCGAAAACATTACTGAACGTACTTCTTTGAATATCTTGCAATGTCGAACCAGATATATTTGATCTTGTGTTGAGGTGGTAGAAATTGATTTAGATAATCCACAATTCTCTCGAACTCTTCACCCAAAATTTGTTCGTGTCTTTTTCTCTCTTTTCTCTATCATGAGATATTTGTTAGTCAGAAGAGACGAATCATGAGTACATCAGTCTAAAACATATTAAGTAATTGCTACAACTTTGTCATTGCTATACAGAGCTGGCATAACTGGTTGAGGTTTTTCGTCTTAAAAAATCTCTTTGATACGAGTATTACTGTAAATCCAGTTTTCCACTTCAAGCGTATCGTACCGTAACGTATCAAAAACGTTTTTAAATTTCAAAATTTCGTAAATGTTGATTGATTAGTACTTCCGTAGTACGCCAAAAAGTTGACTTGCGACGAACCTTTTATTTTGATACGCGAATACACCCGGAAGTACGTGGATTAATACACCTCTTTTCAATCTGCGCATGCTCACCAGTACGTTTCGGTACGATACGGGCGAAGTGGAAAACCGGCTTAAGTTCCCTCTTGCAATATGTTGTACGCTTAAACCCTCCGCTGCCCCCAATTCAATGCTAAGTTTGTGTCATGCATGGTAAATTACTAAAAGCTGTTGGATATTGTTCGCATACATGGCCACCTACTGTAGTCTGTAGCTCGGTTCAATGTTGCGTCAAGTTTGATTAAGCAGTGTACACGTATATTAACTTCATAATATAATTTCCTGTCATGATATTCAACTATGTTTGCTGTTATCATGTGCTAACACAGGAGAACTGTTTCTAACAGTATGGTAAACACAGGTTCTGATTATGTTGAAATATCAGCTATCTTCCTATATCCTCTTGCAATTTCCGATGCAATGGCACATAACACTTCATAAACATACCTTGACAAGATTAAAGACAATAATTGGTGATCCAAATCTTTGCAACACACTGTTGAAATGTTGAGATGCAGCGGAAGCAAACGGATCTGATCTATCAACTAGAATTATTTAAACATTTTGAGAACACAGTAAGGAGCATATAGTAAATATATTCAAATGCGTTCTGCGAGAACTTTGCATCTTTCCTACTTGTGTCCGCTTTCCTCGCACATCTCGCATCCTCGTTTGTCCACTTGACCGTGTTTACTGACAGCGATTTGTGGTCACTCGCTGCATGACTGCGTTCGCCTAGCCAAAGACACAGAACAGCTAGGCGCTCAGTACTATAGCAGAACTAACCTGTGCCACAGTAAATTCTCCCGTAATTTACGTCTTTAAACATTCTCTATAAACTACGATATATATACAGCTGTAACGCAGAACCGACGCATCTCATACAAAACCATTCAAGACGCACATTTCCCGTGGCATGGACGCACTTGAACGCAGCAACGATGAACTCAGGTGCACAGAGCGAACGCAGATTACACGCGAGTGAGACACAGTTTTTAGAACTGTTTTTCTCAGTATTGCATGGAGGCAATTAAAATTTCGTATGAAAAGATACCTTGTATTTGGGGTTTTGGGACTACACCATGTTGTAATTCCTACAATGAAATAAATGGAAAATAAATTAATATTATACTTATTATAAACCTTTCCCCTATTCTTAAGTCCATGCAGTGTAATCAAAAGGAAGCGGCATATCAAAATGTATTTTGCTTTAGCTCATCAATGAGAAAATTGTACATTATTTTTCATTTTGAATCCATCTAATTCAGCAAGATAAAGGCACATTAAGCTTGTCAGAAATCGTGATTACCACCATGCACGCGTTTCCATCCAAACAATATATTTCTTACCTGCGACCAAAACAGAGGAACTGAACCACGCAGCTGTACGAAAGAAGTGTATCCACCATTTTTGAAAGACAAAGTTGAAGCATCATGAACAATTTGTTCTGTTTCAACATCATTGGCTACAAAACCCTGCATGAACAAGAAAATGAAAAAATAATTGATAGTGTGATTAAAACATACCAATATCAAGTCATTAAACATAACTGGACAAAGATGGACAAAACACAGTGATGTGGGAACTTTTTTCTTAGCTATTTTTGCCCAAGGTGAGCAGCTCGGCAAACAAAATCTGTTTATATATTTGTTGAGGAAACCTTGGAAGGAAACAAGTTTCCACAATTGAACAACGGGGAAGCATGCGAGAAAACATGAAAATCTTTGAAGCATGTTCCTGCATCAAAGTTTAGTACTGTGTAGTTTTTCCACAGCTAAATACAGTAATACAAAAGTCTCTGCCCATTTTAAAGTAGAGGCAAGTTATATGAAGTCCCGCGAATACGAGTGTTCCTTAACCTCACTTCAAACTGCTGGTGACGGTGAGGCATAGAATGAATTCTTTGATAAGAGAATATTGAAGAGGATGATCAATTTCATTGTATACCGAATCATTTGAGCCTCTTTTTAAGAATCTTGTCCCAGCATATTCATTTGACCTTCTCGCTATCAACGTCAAATATAATGGACGACCATAGACGCTAATATCTAGAAATGTTGTTAAAGAAACAATCGAAACTTCTAAGTATAGTGATCACATGAAATATTCAAATAGAGAAAACATTTTTGCTAGTCTGTACAATATTATACAAAACGTTTCCTCCAGACTAGAGCTAAGCCATTTTATTTCAAGGCTATTTCACAACAAGAACACTAGCCTGCGTCAAAGGAGGGCGCTAATTTCCCCACAGTCTAAAAAGATATGGATGCCTTGGTGAATAGGGTGTGGGGTGGAGGTCAGGACATCCCATTCGTTGTGTTATCAAGCATGGCATGCATGAGCATACAAATATAGCAAGCCCTCTTTTTAAAACACTTAAAGCCTGTCGTGTGAGGGTTTATGCATACTCTAACATCACCCATTGTTCACTATCAACAACGGTACGCATTAGATGCTTACTGTACATGCATTTAAAGTTTGTTCGTTCACTTGCAACCAGGTATATCAATCATGTTTCGCTCGCTACTCTGGTTTAAATAAATTATTACAAAGCCCAGTCATTTATTTAAACCAGAGTAGCGAACAAAACATGACGTACATGCATTGTTTCGAAAATTGGCATGCCGCATGCCATAGTAGATGTTTGAGAGTTATTAATAAATTGTTCCTAGATGATTTAGTGACTACATGATCGGATCCGATTTTTTGTGAATTATTTTCATTTTTATTGGGAGAATGTACAATACCTCGAACGTACTGTATGAGTTGGAGTACAGTACATTATACATAGACGTCATCAATGTTATTGGAAATGTCTGGGAAAGATTCTAAAACTCCAACATTTCGAGCAAAGTCAGGATATTAGTGATGAGAACACGTTTCTCGAAATAATTTCGACTGTTTCATGTTTCCACACACATCGACGCCAGTGTGCAGATTGTAAAATTACATGACTGTTACTAAAAGGATATTGCATTGTCCAATAAAACCATGAGTTATGTACAACAACCAATCAGAATGTACGATTGTATCCAAATCTTTCAACATGTGTTTGTTCCAGACAAATTTCATGCAAGCTTTTCCTCGTCCCAAGACGGTATGATGATGCTGGACACGTTTTCTTGCGCACTCTTTGCACAAAGATTTTCCTTTCAGCTGAAACTTCCCTCTACCATCCTCAACGTCAGTCGAATCAGCTTTGAGTTGTGTACTTTTAGGACTATCTTTGATAGTATTGCATGCCTTACTTGATTTTGTATTTATTTGAGAAGGCTGTGAAGTGGATGAACTATCGCTATCCTTTTCTTTGGTATTTAATGTTACTTTTCCACTATCAAGGTTAGTCCTATCTTTGCATTCTTTATTAAACTTAGTATTTATTTCTGAGGGCTGTGAACTAGGTGAAGTATGATTATCCTTTTCGTTTTCATTTAACGTCTCTGTTTTGAGATGACACTGACATTCACAGGATGGACATTTAGAATAAGAACGTTCAAGAAGAGACATGTTGTATTGTAGACTTTGTGTCAGATCATATGTGTAGCTACATGAAGGCAGAATACACCGCAGTTAGTACTTAGTCGTTTGAGTAACCGTTTTAATAATAAAATTTAATTGCAACATAAAGATCACTAAATTCATAGTCTTCAGTAAAAAATAGAGTATATACAGTATAATATAAAAAAGGGGACCCCATTATTGGGGATTATCTCAGTCTGTGGTCAGTCCCTGCCTGTACTGTATCTAAATTATGTAACATTTTATATGTAATAGTTTAGTGGTATTTATGTTTGTGTTTGGCAATTAGTCTTGTAAAAGAAAAGAAAATGCAGTGAAATAAAACAAATCAGTAAGTTAGAAGTGTCTATAAAACGATAATAGTTTACCTAAAATAGAAATTACTAGACAGGTCAACATTTTGAAAAGCTTTGAGGTACCTACAGTTCAAAGAAAAATATAATTTAACAAATGGTAGTTATATGTTGACATCAGACAATAAATTCAAAACAATTTTAAAAACTAACTTGGATTCCCCATCATGGTGATATTTTGTTCTTACAGTTTCATTTGGGATTGGAACCATACATGTATCCATGACCTTATAAATAGTATGTCCACCAAGCTGAGCTACCCTTGAAAATAAGATCATTGAATACAAACTGTGTGTTTCAATTCTATGATAATAAAATGTTTGTTGTCTTGAGAGGGATTTGAACTCACATATATTCACCCAAATAAATTCACATCTTTCGGCCATCTAAATTAGATAAAACTTAGTTGCTTCCAATCTCCGTTGGCCCAAAGGCTCTGAACTCTGAAGGTGCAAGTTCAAATCCCGCTCAAGACAATAGATTTTTCGTCACTCTTTGGTTTTGCAGTATGAGAATTTAGTATATTCCTGAGGTTCATGTGTAACATTGATAACATAAAAACAACAAGCTTTCGTTGCTACCTAAAAATATATCTACTGAAACTAGAATTCAATTCTTTAACCATTATAATCATTATGCACTTGTCAAACAGTATATACTGGAACTTACTTTTTTCTTTTAGATATCAGAATGATGTAATATCCTTCCAAAAATCTAATAAATCCTACAGAATATACAAACACATCATGATTAATCCAATACACTCCAATGTTGAGCTTTTTAAATTTTTATACATACTGTACGTACATTGCATTGTTAACTTTTTGGATGTTGACTGTATTTCTACGTGTTGCAATGTTTACCGTTTTTCCATATATATTCCATGAAATGTTGTTCAGTATATCCCAGTACCAAGTGTAATAACTGTTTCTTGGCATACATTCCAACATTGCCTGTTTTTCAGTTTATTGATACTTTACTGGCATTGACCCTTTTTTAGTGCACTGTCATGTAAGTCATGTACTGTACAGCTAGACTGTAAAACACATTGGTGAGGAGATGGATGGTCACCAGAGTTCAGCTACAGAGATATTTTGTGGGACCCATGACAAAAATCCTAATCCTACTGTATACAGTAACTGTAATCCTAACAAGGCTAACATAATCCTAAATGTAATCCTTATCTTGACATTGATCCTAAACCTAATCCTACTATTAAGCATTATTACGGAAATCACCGAACTGTGGAATCGCATCAAAAATTCATATCGTCGCCACTCCCACAAACGTCTACGACCGCATCTAGCTACATATGTTTGCCTGTACGTGCAATTCTAATTTTAAACAGCCAATCCGGTTCTTGGTGACAATTACAATTAAACGTCGATTGGCGGTTTAAAATTAGAATTGTAAACATGCAAAAATATGTCGGTCGTAGACGTTTGTGGGAGTGGCTGCGATACGAATTTTTGATGCGATTCCACAGTTCGGTGAGTTCCGTAATATTATGACCCTAAACCCAATCGTAGTGCATGCAAAGGAAAGTCACCTATACTGTAATTTGGCTTGTTTTATTAATTTCCAGCATTTCCAAAAAAAATTATGTATCACATTTGGGAAAACTGAGATTGTTATACCGCTCACCCACAATTCCAAAAGCAGAAACAGTTCGATGCAGTCCAGTAGAATCTTTATCATAAGCTTTTGGGTTCTTTGGTGTATTGCCATCATTAATCATAGCCAGTAATTGTTTGATCTGATCACTGTCATATTCAACCTACATAAAATGTACAGTAGAAAGTACTTACCACAGTGAACATTAGGAGTTGTCTTCAGTATTTAGTACGGTATGCATGCAACTATACAGTAACAGGGAAATGGGGCTTTGTAACATGTTCAGGCTTAAAAGTCAGTGGCAGACACCAGGGGGAAATCCCCCTGTTGGAAAGTGCGTACATTTTAGAAGTATTAACACTTAGGACTGTATAGTAAAAACAACGTTGTGCATACGTTACAATCAACTGAAGCGAGATATTTAGTGAAATTTCTTTTGTATTCTTCGTGTAAAAGTGATTAAAAACTGTTATATCTAAACCTTGTGAGTTATTGTCGGATAACAAGCAAAAATTCCCGACAAAGTGGCGACCCCGAGCAAGATTTTAACATCAAAAAGCAGCGAATATCGTACATTAAATAATCTTGTTTGCCTAAAAGTGAAACGAGAGAAAAATCAATCGTTAAAGATGTCAACCGTGAAAGATTGGTTGAATAAAGTCGAAAGTGATGAGACCCCTAGTGTTTTGAAAAAGAATTAAAAAAATTAGAAGGGGCAATTCGAAGCAGAAATTGACAAACCTTAAAGAGCTGCTTATTCCCAAAGTTCGTGCATTTGTTGATGGTCTGCCCTTTTCTACTGAAGGGTATGAAAGAGCAAAAACTATCCTACAGACGCGGTATGGGAGAGAAAGTGAAGTTGCAAATGCCCACATACAGAGCATTATTTCCTTGCCAACCGTACCTGGGACTGATGCAAAGAAAATCAATCGTTTGTTTGAAACATTGGTTGCAAATACACAAGCATTAGAAACCATGTGGAAGCTGAAAGAAGTAAAGGGTTTTGTACGAAGCACTCCGGACAAATTACCAGGTAGACGGGCAGACTTAGTTCGATCGGATGGTGATTGGCAAGAACACCGAGCATCCGAATGTCCAAAACAACTTGCTTTCGGTATAATGCGAAACACCATACCATTATTTGTGATGACCGGGCGAGTGCAACTAAACAAATTATGTTGGCTACTGGTAACGGGACGGTGGTATATCCAGTTGTTGTAGCGGTCGTTGATGGAATAAAATGTAGAGCCCTCTTGGATAAAGGAACTGGCAGTCCCCGGGAATAAAGCGAAGGACACGATCGCCACAGTCTTTCCAAACAACATGCCAGTCACAACCAAAAGATAAATGCTGCGATTTCTGGCTTCTATCTATACGATCCCCTTGGCATAGTTTCTCCCACATCACTTGTTGCTAAACTCATCTACCGTGATGTATGTGATCAACGTTGTCCTTGGGATGGAGAGTTGTCGCCCCAGATATCTAACAGTTGGAGAAAATTAGAGAATGCCCTGCCCGAAAAGGTGGAAGTACCACGCAGCATCACCGCCTTTGAGGAGCCACCAATTGAAGCAGTCCATCTTCACGCGTTTGGTGACACCAGTTCAGAAGGTACGCGTGCAGCAGTGTATGCAGTTGTGCACCAGCAATCGGGAGTCAATCAAGGTTTAGTAGCTGCTAAGTCGAGACTCGCGAAAAATAATTTGACTATCCCACGATCAGAGCTTGTATCGGTACACATGCCCTCAACCCTTGTCGACAATGTCGAGAACACTCTGGGTTATCCAGTTGGTTAGATAGTACTACTGTCCTTTATTGGATAAAGGGAAACGGCAACTACAAACAATTTGTCGCGAACTGGCGAACAGAACGAGGAAAATCAATGCCAAGGATTATATTCAATGGAGACATATTGGGACACACGAGAATCCTGTAGACCTTGGAAGCCGCGGATGTTTACCAAACAACCTGTTAGAGTCATGGTTTAAAGGACCAGAGTGGCTGCCTTCTCCTGATCAATGGCCTGAGGACATATTGTTGCACAACCTGGTAAATAGTCAGAATTGGAAGTAAAGTTAGTACAGAACTTGTTCGCTGCAGCTGTGGAAGTCAAAGATGAAGTGGGTGAGCTCCTACAAAAGCACACCTTTTGGAAATCCGTTCGCATTCTTGGTTCGATAACCAGATTCGTAAATAACTGCAAAGCAAAGTTGGCCAAGACGGGACAGCAAAGTGGTCCGCTGACAACAACTGAAACTGCAGTTCAAGTGGAGTTGTTCGTGAAGAAATTCACCGAAAGACAGATCGAAACGGAACAATTTAAGAATAAACAGCTAAGGCTTAAGAAAGCCCATGCAATTCCGGTAAAAACAAACATTTAAACAGAAAATATAGGGTCTTAAATAAAGCTTCGAGGGGGGTCAGGATTTTTAGTGTTTTTTTATTGGATCCAACGTGACAAGGTAAAATAAGAAATTTTCTAAAAACTTGCCGCTAGGATTTGCGTTTTATTGCCTAGTTCTAAAATTATTGGCATTCGAACTTACGCGCATTTTATACGCCGCTGTTCGAATGCCGATAACTTTAAAACTAGGCAATAAAATGCAAATCCCAGCGGCAAATTTTTAGAAAATTTCTTATTTTACCTTGTCACGTTAAATCCAGTCAAAAAATTAAAAATCTTGAAGCTTTATTTAAGACCCTATATTTTCTGTTCAAATGTGTGTTTTTACTGGAAGTAGTAACCAATTACGCATTCTTAGAGCGAAAATGTCAACAAATGCATTGTCGAGAACGAAATTCCTCCTTGTTCCAGCTGGCACGTTCCTCAGTGAGAAAATGATCGAAGATGCCCACGTTCAAACGTTACATGGGGGAGTTGGGTTAGCAATGGCCTCGTTACGTCAACCATACTGGATACCAAGACTTCGTCAGTCTACGAAAAAAGTGATTGCGAGCTGCTATAGCCGTATAGGTGCAAACGATTCCAGGTAACTGCCTATCAAAACCCACCAGCTGGAAATGTATCGCTAGACAGAACTGTTGGATCAACACCTTTTGAAGTCCTCAGTGTCGGTAAGATCAATAAGAGAAAAGATGCTAAAGCGTATACCTTGCTCTTCGCTTGCAGCCCCACTCGTTCTATTCATTTAGAGTTACTTCCTGACCAAACTACCGATAATTTTATCAAAAGTTTCAAGCGATTTATTGCACGAAGGAGACGTCTGCAGAAAGTTTACACGAACAATGGTAGAATTTTTGTTTCAGCTGCGAAATGGACCAGTAATATAATGAAAGATGAATGCTTTCAAGACTACCCGGCCCATCAACAAATTGTGCGGCAGTTCAACTTGAGCAAAGCCCCATGGTGGGGAGCAATTTGAGAGTATGGTAGTACTTGTTATTGTTAAGAGACTACTGCACAAGACGATTAGTCGAGCAAATCTGAGATGGGACTAATCCAGTCCGAGACCCTCTTCTGGCCGCACAGCGTGGCGGAGAAGGAGGGTCCATGCATGCGCACGCATCAACTTGTCCAATCAAAACGCTCGCGATTGACTTTCGGAAAAGGGAAAACCCTTACACCTGTTCAACACGCGCAAAAATGTAAGGTTTGACTAACTCACAGGCATTCATTGCGGGTGACTGGTTAGGGTGTTATAAAGAGATGACAAAACGGGATGCCAAGTTTATCGACATCAACGAAGGTAATCAACCACAAGGACCTGCATCCACTTTCACATGAGCTGATCTGCTCTAGAGAAGACCTAAAACATGTCTCCATAGTCCATATAAATTATTAATATAGTCCTTCTTTTAATATTAGTTTTTCTTCTAATGAAAAGTGTATACTTTGAGATTAATAGATTATGATGCAGGTATCGGGCCATATAGGAAATATTTTTATTATATAAAGTATAGTGCTTTATAGAGATTTCGAGCACTGATAAAAGTGATAATATTATCACATATGAGATTGAGGTCGGCTATATTGCGAGTTGCGAGTCTGCAAGTTGCGAGTCACAGCACAGGACCCCCAGGTTATTTTTTATTCAATAGTCAGGGTTTTTTTCAGGGATTTTTTAGGGCCGTAAAACGGCCCCAAAAACTCAATCTTGAATTGAGTTTTGAAACTCAATCTTCGCACAAAAGATTCGGTGCAGTAAAAATGAAGTTGTTTGAGTTAAATTCGTGACGTGTGGAAATTAGTTTTCAGTTGGAAACCCGAAAATTAAGGAAAATAATGGCTGGGATTCATCTCACAACACAAGAAAAACTACGCATTCGCCATGTTTAACCAGTTTATAGTGTCCCTTAGTGCCCCTGCTTTAACACATTGCATCTCAACTACATTTATTGAAGGTGCAGCCACCCCAACTGTTCAGCTAAACTCAATCTTCTCGGCAAAAACGGACCCAAGAGAAAATCCGGAAAAAAAAACCCTGATAGTTTAATAGTGTAATAGTTATATAGTTGTTGATATTTTTAGCCTGCGTAGCATTGGGCCATTCCGGCGCGTCTGCACTTGGGGTTACTATTAAAAATAGAAGGAAAGTACATATTGCCCAAAATAGGTCAGACTTGCATACGGTGTACGAACATATTATAGAAAGGGGTATTGGGTTACCTGTGGGTAACAAGCCTGTTCGCGGGCGACCTGAGTATCGGGAAAAACAACGAACATGTGAGACTTTGTGAGCGAGAGTTTTGTGTAAAAAGTGGGAGTTTTTATAGTTTATTAAACTTTACTAAAACATAATAAGAGAGTTTTAGTGTGCCGACACAAGTTCGGCACATTTTGGTGCCGTGACCAGGATTGAACAACGAAATATTTGCGGATAAAGACGAGAAATTGAGGGTATTACGAAATCCAAGATGGCGGACGAACTTGAACAACAAGAAATTGAGGAGAATAATACGGTAGAAATCACTCAGGAGGAGAAAGACCAGGAGAAAAAGATTAGAAAAGAGATTGAAAAGCTGCAGTTTTATCTCGAGGACGTCGACGAATTATTGGAAAGTGAGGATTTTAATGAAATCAAACAAGTATGCAAGCGAACACAGCAGATTCAAGATAATATGAACGACTTGGTGTCCCATTTACAAGAATTAAAAATTGAGCTGGGAAATTCAACACAAAGATCTATTAGACAGTGGACAAGAGATTTGAAGGCAGAGTATGCACCACTATGTGAGAAACGTGCGAGGTTGTGTAGGGTACTAGACGATAGACAGAGACATGAAAACTTGAGAGCTGAGGAAGAAGTGGCGATCAGAAAGATGGAGAAAGAAGAGCAACTACGTAGGCAGATCCAACAACGAGAGAAAGAAATGTGGGAAGAAAGAATGAGAGCGGAGTTAGTGCTGGCAGAGAAGAAAATTCAGATGGAGAAAGAAGCTAAAGCAAGTACATCGAAACTACCAGAGTTGAAAATATCACCCTTTAATGGCACTTCTGCTGACTGGATAAGGTTTGAGAATATGTTTTCCTCACAAGTTGACAGCAAGTCCATTTCCGACGCTGAGAAATTTGGGTACCTTTTAGAGCTTGTGAATCCGAAGGTGAGAGGTAGACTTTCGAACTTGAAGCCGGGGTCAGAAGGTTACAAAACAGCATGGGAAAGGTTGAAAATGGAATATGGTCATAATAAATTAGTAATTGCAGCTCATATGGAGGAGATTATTAAGTTACAGACGGTGAGAGGAAGAAATTACGATAAGGTATGTGAATTTTATGAAAGTCTTTGCAAAAACTATGACGCACTGCAAACGTTGAGTGAAGAAGCTATGTTAAAGGGGTTGGTGGTATCTACTTTAAATAAACTCCCCCAGGTTAAGCCTGATTTAGTACGTATGGATGATAATTGGGAAGATTGGAACATGAAACAATTGTTATCAGCATTACAGGGGTGGTTGAAGCGTAACAAAACAGAAGAGGTATCAACTAAGGAGCATGAAAACCCAAGAAAGAGGGAGCGAAACTGGTATACCCAAAAGGGGGGAGAGTTTACCAATGGTAAAGGCAAGGGCCCGGTCTGTATTTATTGCGAAGGACAGCACTGGGGAGACCAATGCACATCGTATGACTCTGTGACTAAGCGTAGACAGTTCTTTGTTGAAAAACGACTGTGCTTTAATTGTGGTCGACCAGGCCACCGCGAAAGTAAATGTCGCAGTAGGGGGTGCTACAAGTGCAAGGGCAAACATCACACTAGCCTTTGTGATAAACTGCAGGAAAACAATAATCGAGAAAACCACAACGCAATGTTAAATGGATATTCCCCATCCTCTGAAGAGAAGTCTTTACCAGCTATTGTGCCACTTAAAATTAAGGGTAAGACATTTTGGGCGTATCTCGACACGGGCTCTGGGAGAAATTTCATCTCGAAGGAAGCAGTGCGACAATTAAGACTATCACCCCAGCGCCATGAGAGTAGAAACATCCTAACTGTAAACGGGTCCAAAAAGGCATCAATGCCAGTGTTTGAAGTAACAATCAATTCAGTTGATGGAAGGGCAAGTGAGAATATCGAGATTACTGGTACAGAAATGCCAGATTTTACAACTGTGAAAAGACCGACTTTCATAGAGCTAAAGGAGAAATACGAGCATCTTCGCGAGAAAACATTCTACCGGTCAGAAAGCGAAGAGTACCCCATCCATGTCATATTGGGCGATGCTACCTATTGCAAAATACGGACTGATCAAGTCTACAAGGGAAAATCAGAGGATCCGATTGTAGAAGGAACGACCTTTGGTTGGGTAGTTCATGGCGGCCAAGATTATGCAGACTCAAGGTGCATGTATGTTTGTGACCATAGTGATTATGAACAGCTCTATTCCCTAGATGTCTTGGGAGTAGAGGATCGAGGGGAGAAAGATCAGTCAACAATTTATGCAGAATTCCAAGAAAGCATCACTAGGAAAGAGGATGGAAGATACGAAGTTGCTGTTCCATGGATTCCTGGAGCTGTATTGTCAAACACTAATGAAGAACCCAGTAGGAAGAGACTCCATAATGTAAACAGGAAGTTGAAACAGAATCAACAGCTCAAAGATGAATACGAGAAAATTGTGCATGGACAGTTGAAAGACGGAGTCATTGAAAAGACCAAAGAGAGCTCGACTAGTGAACGTGTGTTCTACATGCCACACAAACCGGTGATT